TATATATATATATTATTTATATATAAAGTTTTTTTATTTTTAATTATTTAATTACTTATTTTATAAATTTATTTATATTTATTATAAATTAATTATAAATAAAAGTTTTTAATAATATGATAAACAAATTTTAAATATAATTATAAAATATCATAAACTTTATATTTTATATATTTTATTTGAATATTTAATTTTTATATTTATTTACTACATATTTTTTTTTAAATATTAATTTAGAATATTTGAAGTATTAGAAGTTATTTAATACTAATAATTGATTTACACAATTTTTTTTGTTTTACAAAAATAATAAATAAATAAAAAAAAAATTATATTAGAATAAATAAAATATTATAAGTTTTATATTTTTCATATAAATTATATATAAATATAATTAAAGATATTAAACAATTTTTATATAAGAAATATATTATAATACTTTATAATTTATATTAAGCATTTATATGATAAATAATATAATAAATTGTTAAATCTATGATTTTATCATAAATATATTGATAACATGAATATTAAAATATGTTTGTTTATTTAAATATGTCTATATATATATATTTACATATATATTAATCACTTTGTATATAAATTTTAAGGATTTTTTTTTTTTGAAAAAAAATTCTAATATTATCTAAATTGTTTATTAAATATTTAACTTACATATTCAAATGATTAAAAAAAAAAATATTATTGTAATACATTTTTGGTTATTTTTTTTATTTAACATTATTCTTTTATAGATTTCATAATTATTTGTATTTATTTTATAGTCTTAATTTAAATGTGAAGATTTCATTGTAATTTTATTTTATTTGATTTATTATGATAATTAAATAAATAGTACATTATGATTATTATATAATATATATAAAGATTTAGTATAAAATATTATAAATATATGAAATAAAAAAAATGTAAATTTATTTAAAAATTTAGTAAAAATATATGGATTATAAATATAAATAAATCTTTTTAAGATATTTGTTTATTTATATAATTTCTAATCATTTTCTCGCTCTTCTTCTTTTTCTTCTAAGTCTTCTCATTCTTTTCTTTCTCCACTTTTCTCTCAATTTTTTTTATTAATTTATTTTATTATATATAATTTTTTTATTAAGTTATAAAAATAATATATATATATAGAAATGAAAAAATCTATATATTTTTGTATTATATATTAATTTAGTTTTTATATTAAAATATTATATTATTAATATAAAATATATTATAATTATTATAATTTAACAATAATCTTATAATTTTAATATGGATATTAATAATTAGTTTTTATTAATATTTCTAAACAGAAAATTAAATTTGCAATTTATATTAAAAAATTACTTTTTTATATTATATCATATAAATTCATATAAATATTGAAAAATAAAAAAATAAGATTAAACAATTTTTAAAATTATTATTTTTTTTTTATAAAAAACTTAAAATAAATTCAATTCATTTTAATTAATGAAATAGAAAAAAATATATATATATATTAAAATGTTTCTTAAATATATAAACTAAGTTATATAAATTTTAAGCAAAATAAAATAATTTAAATGAAAATAAAAATTCTTATATAAAATTTGATAATAATATATATTTGGAATAAAAAAATAAATTTATTTATTATATACAAATGATATTAAAATAATAAAATTTTATAATTTAAATATATATTTATAAAAGAAATACATTTAAATATAATATTATGTATTTTATTATAAACTTTTATAAATATCAAAAGCAGTTTAAAAAAACAAACATATTATTTTTTTAACAATGTTATTAATTTATTTTTTTATTTGGAAATTTTTTTTTTTTTAATATTAATTATTTTTTTTTAAAAAAAATAAAAAAATAAAAAATAAAAAGTAATAAATTTAAAAATATAGGAAAAAAAAAATGTAATAAAATTTAACATTAAAGCCCTAACAATATTTGTAATAATAGCATTAATAATTATAAAACTATTAATTTCAATAGACACAATAATATTAAAAATACAACTAATAGCCTATATAAAAATCTGAATCATCTAGATAAATGGCTTTTACAGGAATAGGAGGATAAAAATAACTACAGGTATTAGGAAATAATAATAGTAATTTAAATGGTACAGTGTAAGCATAAGGTAGTAGAATAAATTATACATAATATAATTAATAAAACGTAGATTTAAGTGTTTAACCTTCTCCTTATAAGCAACCAAATATTTAAAATTACTAATAAGATAAAGATAATTATTATAATAAATACTAAGCTTTAAATGTATTTATTTTAATTAAAATTTTTAATATTCATAAATATATATATATTTATACAAATATAAATAGGTTTAATATTAGAATGATAAAAAACATATAGAAATTCTTGAATAAAAAATGAAATTATTAATTGTTGAAAATGACAAATTAAATTCATAATTAGAATAAAAAATTTAATTTTCACAACCAAGCATTGATTAATATGAAAATATTGAATAAAAAATTTAACTTTTACTTGAGGAAAATCACAAACTGTAACTTTTGTTAAATGAAAATGAATAATAATTGGCAATTTAAAAGTAGGAAAATTCTAAATTAAAATAATATTAAGAAGCGAATTTTTTTAACGAAAGTAATTAAGAAAATTTCAATTTTTAACATTAATTAAATGAAATCGAAAAATTAAAAATTTAATTTAATTTTGAAAAGTAAGAGTTTTTGAAAGAAAACTAAAAATAAATTTAAATTAAATAATAAGAAATTAATAACTTAGAATTAGAAAATAAATAATTAAATGAGAAATATATTAGCCTGTAAAGTAATGTTGAATAATTTTAATAAAGTAATATTAAATAAGGTGATTTAATTAATCAAAATTTTTAATTATAATAGCTTTTGAAAGACTTATAATAAAAGTTTAATGATTAAACTAATAAATTAAATGAATTTATGAATAAATCTAAAAACTTCGAGGAAAAATACAATGAATAATTAAAAAATACTGAGTCTTTAAAAAAGTTCGAATAGGAAAATGCTAATTATAAAGGAATGATTTAAAAAATAGAATAAAAGGTATAATAATTATACTAGGAAAATTAAAAAATGTAAGAAGAAATTTAAATTTCTAATTAAAAGTTTTAACAAATGGACTTTTACTAATCCTAATCTTAAGAAAAGAACAAAAATTTAACCTAAGAAAATAAAAGCTTTTAATAGTTAACTTAAAAATAAGCATAAGAAATAGCTGAAAAAGGTTAATAAATTTTAGGTTTGTAAACAAAATATGAATAAGAAGGTTTAAAATGGACTAATTTAGAAAATTAATATAAATAAAAGTTAAAACAAGCCGATGATTAGGTAAAGGAAAAAAATTAAATTCTAAAAAATTATTAGGATTTGCTTTAGAAGACTAGTTCGGAATTCTAAAAATAAAACTCTTAATAAATATAAAATTTGGAATTATAAAAATAATAATTATAACATTCTGAAATAGAGAAAAAATTATAGATTTCTGAAATTTAAAAATAATATTAAGAATCTTAAAAATAAAATTAAGAATTATAAAATCAAAACTAAGAAATATAAAAATAAAATTAAGATTTGTAAAAATAACTTTAATATTATTAATAATCAATTTAGTATTTGAAGAATAATTATAATTAATATACTAAGGAAAATGTTAAATTAGTTTAAGATTAATAAGAATAACTTAAAATTTTAAATAAAAAATTGGAATAATAAGAAATTTATACAAAATAAATTATGGAAGAAAATAAGTAATTCTAAGATAAAAATAATGAAAATTTATTAGATCATTAGTAAGAAATTATCAATCTTAGATCTTAAGTTGTGGATGTTAAATAGATTTATACTAATTGTAAGTTAGAAATTAATTAACTTTAAAATATTATTAGATAAAAGTCTGAAACTATTGAGAAATAATAATTAAATAGTTAAGAAATAATAAAGGAAAAAGAAAATTTGGAAAATTAAATTAAACTATTAATGGAAAATGTAATCTTATTTTTTTAAAATTTTTTTATATTTATTTAATAAAGGATAAATAAGTTGAAAGTGAATAAAACGAATGATAAAAAGGGATTTTAGGAAAATGTTTATTTTTTGTTTTAAATATTATTAATTATTTTTTATTAATTAAATAAATTACATATTTATTATTTATATTCTCTTTTATAAAAATTTATCATTATTTAGATATTTTTTAAAAAAATATATATATATTTGATTTTTCGTTATATTAAAAAAAATATTTTTGAAAAATTAAATAAATAAGAAAAATATAAAACAAATATGAAATAAAATGTATATATATATATATAAAAAAATAATAATTAATCATTATTTTTTTTATATTTATTTAAATCAATTTTAATTTAGGTTGGTTCTTCAAAATCATTAGAATTATTATTATAAATATATTCCTAACTATCATCATTATTATATCTTTTATTAAAATTCTATTTACTACTTTTGAATATTTAATTTTTTTTAGAATTTATAGAAATATTTGATTATTCTAATTCATTCATAGATTCTATTTTTTTCAATATCTTACCTTTTAAATTTTATATATCATTTTAGATACTTTAAATTATTTTTTCGCCTTCTTTTTCTGAATTTGATACCGAATTAGTATTTTATAACTATAATTAGGGTAATTACTAAATTTAACTTTTTTTATAAAAACTACTCATTTTTTCTGTATTTTTATAATTATTATTATCATTATAAACGTTAAAATTAATATGTTTATTTTAATTATTATTATTTGCATTTTATTTAAATTTTTTAATATCGATTTATATAGGAATTGCAGATTCTTCTTCATTTGTATTTTTACTTTGAGAAAATTAAGAATCTTATTATTTTTTTTTAAATTAATTTAAGTTCATTTTTATTTAGATAGGACTTTTTTAAATTGAATTCTAAATATCATCATCACTAGAATTTTATTGTTCTTCATCTTCTTCTTCTTAATCAGTATAATTATCACTATTTTATGTATATGCCATTCTATTAATTTATTAATTTTTTTGTAAAAAATTATGCTATTGATTCTTTTTTTCAACTATTGGATCTTCGATAAATGTATTTATTTTCTATTGTTATGAATTCTATTATAAATGATGTTGTAATTATTAACTGCTTTAATTTTATTTCTTTTTTTCTTTGTAATTTTCTTATAAATTAATAAAATTTTATAAAGGTGAAATATTTCTATTTTCTTCTTAAGAATTATGCTATTAATAATCGGTTAAGTTATATTTAGGCTTTATTAAATTGCTTGGAATAACATTAATATCTTAGTAAAGAGTCTTTTTATAAGATTCTTTTTAAAGTTCTTTTTTTTTTAGTACTAATTTTTATATTTTAAACTTTCATAATATAATTAGGTATATTTATCTTTTTCTATATTTCTATTGTCTGGATTTTCTTATACATAAAGTATGGATTATTTAATGCTTTTTTTAATTTGATTTTACTATTATTATACATAAAGTATGGATTATTTAATGCTTTTTTAATTTGATTTTACTATTATTATTATTATTATTATTATTATTATTATTATTATTACTATTATTATTATTACTATTATTATTATTATTGTTGTTATTGTAGTTGTTGTTGTGGATTTAGTTATTATTGTGATTACATATTATTTTTATCAGACATGATTTTTTGTTTTATTTATTGTTATTTATTTAATATTATATTTTTTTTCTCTTATATTTATTCATCAATAAATTTACATTCAATTTCTTTTTGATTTATTTGATTTTCTAAAATCTAATTTTAATCGACATATTTTTTTTAATTTTATTCATTATTTTTTTAATCGATTTATGAAAAAACTTAACTTTCCATTAAATTAATAATACTTACTTATTAAAAACCTTAGTTTTTATTTAATTCATTAGAATTCTAATGTGTAATAGGTACGATTTCAGTTTATTTTAGTAATTCTATTTTTAATTAATCTTCTGAATTATTAATTTTAATTGATTTTTAAGGAGATTAACTTTTTAATAAATTTGAAGATTATTAATAATATTATTAAAAACTTTAAGTTTATTAATTTTATTCTGGTTTTTCTACAATTTAATAATTATATTAAGATTTAAAAAAATGACTATTTTTAGTCTATAAAGGTGATGTGTTATGAAAATTAGGTTGACTATTATTATTACTTTTATATAAATTAGAAGCAAGTATATTTTAACTATTAATATTTTCACTTTATTATGGAATTTAATTTATTAAAATTTAATATTTATTTGCTTCCTTTATACTACTTTTGATATTACTAGTACTCCTTATAGATGTTTTTTTGAAATTTATATTTTATGAAATAAATATAAAGTCTATTTTTGGAATACATGAATCTTCTATTTAATTTATTGCAATAAGTTTTTTAAGAAGTCCTAAATTATTTTAATTTTTTCCAAATGTGAGTCTATTTAATTATTACTATTCGGGTTGTTCATTTGAAATATCTTGAATTACGTTTTGGTTTATTATAAAATTACTCAATTAAGCAAATGATTCAGAATTATTATAAATTAAATTACAAAACTGCTTATAATCATTTGAAAATTCTAATGTTTTTTTGATTTATATCAATTTATTATTGATAGAGTCTTATACTTTTTTATTTGTTGGAATTATTAATTGATCATGACTTTTAAAAACAGTATTATCATTATGTTTTTATTATCTAATGCTTTTTTATTAACTTTATTATTAAATAAGCGATTATTAAGTATTTTTTTGTTTTTATATTCTGCTATTATTTACATAATTATTAAATTAATTTTATGATTATTATACTTATTATATTTATATTATATCTTTATATCTACTTAATTTTAAATTATTACTACTTTACTTTTTTAAACTTTCCTATTGTTTATTATTTTAAGCTTAGTTTTGATGGAATAAATCATTTGAAGTTACTGATAATTTAGGCTAATTTTAGTTTATTTGCTAATTATTTTGTTATTATTATTGGTTAATTTGACTTTGATTATATTGTAATTATTAAGATTATGAAGTCTTGGTTTAATTTTAATTTTATTCATTATATTATAGTGCATTTTATAAATATTAATTTGTATTTGTTTATTATGAATTTTCATTTTATTAAGTTTTAAAGTTTTAAACTTCATTTTTTAATAGTCTAACCAAGGGTTACTAGTTTCCGTTTCCGACTTGTTTTGGAGTTAAGTCGAAATTATTGGTTTTTTCAATAGTAGGAGTTTGGCTTCTTTATTTGTTTTATTTTTTTGCTTAATTATTTCCCATATTTATTTTCTTATATATTTTATCTATAAAAAAATGTATTTATATGTTTTATTTATATTATATTAATTAAAAAACAAAATTGACAAATATAAATATAAATATAAATAATAATTAGTTTCAAAAATAAAATATTTTGAAATTTAAAAATTAAATATTAAGATATATTATTTTAAGAGATAAAAATCAATGTAATTATATAAATTAATTATTTAATTTGTACTATAAAAAATTATTAAGATTTTTCTTTATATTAAATATATTTTTAATAATTATAAAATATATAGAAATAAAATTATTTCCTATAATAAAAAAAAACAAATAATTATAAAATAATTTAAAATTTATAAATAATTATAATAAATATATATTAATCAAAAAAAAAATTTATAAAATAAAAATATATTCCATTTTATTATAACTAAATATATATATATATATAATATATATATATATATATATATATTTATATAAATAAATATTTATTTATTCATTACTTTACTTATTAAAACTTCAGTATTCAGTATTATAAACAAAAAAACTAAAATTACAATACTTAAATATTTTTAATATTAATTATATAATTTTATTTATTATAAAACTCATTAAATATATGATGTATTTAAACTTCTAAAGCTTTCTTAAAGATAGCTTTAACTTTTAAAGTTTATTTTTTAAAACGCAATTAATTAAACTTTATGATTTGTAATATTCAGATAAAGTTGAAAATAATGTGTTCCTATAATATTCATATACTATTCAAATTTTGTTTATGAATCAATATATATTTCTTTACAATTCAAGCCCTTATATGATTTATTTTTATCTGAACATTAAAAAACATCATGTATAATGTATCCATTTTTTTTTTTTTTTATTGTAAACGGGTGTATTTGTTATCCAAAAATAATTAAAACAATAACTTCGTATTAATCACTATTTTAAATAATTTATTCTTCTGTTAAATATTACAATTCTTCAAAAAAAGCATTCGCTAAACCTGTATACATATTATAATTAGATCCTGTAGTTTGAAATTCAATAAGACTATGTGCTTATTATAAATAATTTGGGTCAAAATAACAACAAGGATGATTAAAAGAATAGTTTTGGGAAATTATTTCTAATTCTTTTAGTTTACTACGAATTCCTTAACAGTTTTTTTCTATTAATGATTAAAAAGCTATTGCTAAACCATTTTTATGCACATCAAAAATGATATTGTTCTGTTATTTTTTTCTATTATAATAACATGATTAACAATTTTATCCCATTTTAATATTTTTTTTTTTAAAGTTTTAATTTCTTTATTAATAATATTATATAAATAAAAAAGTAAAAATTTAATAAAGTAATATAATTTATATTTATATATAAAATATCTGAAAATTCTTATATATATATATATAAAAAAAAGCACTTTATGTATATTTAATTAGGTAAATTTTTAAATAATCCAAATATATGTATATAATTTATATTTTAATTTAATATTTCACTAATTTTAATTTTATCTTAAGACTTCATCAATTTATTAATATTATTATTTTTCTATTTAATTATTATTTTACTAATTATTAATATCCAAAACACTAGACTAAATAGGACTTACAAAATAAGCAATTATCTACCTATCTAAAGGTGCTTTTATTTCTACTTTTTCCTTTCTTTCAATAAATTAATATATATTTTCAAAAGACTCATAAACTAATTAATATGTAGCTTCACTTATCATAACTTTACCCTTTTCCCCATTAGACTCCATTTTATTTGCAATTAAAACATCTGCTCCATATATATCATACCTAACAATATCTGTTCCTATTACTCCTCCTATTACATTTCCTGTATGGATTCCTATTCTCATATCAATATCTGGAAAACCTTCTTTTTAGGCGATCTATATAATTTTTATCATTGAAAAAGCCATATTAATAACATTTTTAGCCTCAACTTCATACTAGCGTTTCTTTGCATTTATTGTTCCCATGACAACATAACAATCTCCTATTGTATAGACTTTATAAACATCATGATTTATGCATTATTTATCAAATTCTATAAAAAAATAATTCAATAAATATATATAAAAAAACAATTTTAAGATTACTAACAAATATATTTTATAACATATGAAGGACTTTTTCAGGATCCTAGCCTGAACAATATTTTGTAAATCCAGCTATATCAGCGAATAGAAGAGTCGTTTTTTCCAAAACATCACTCAATTAGATTTATTATTCATTCTATTATAATAAAAACTAATCCATTAAATGAGACGGGAGTAGATTAACTAAAAAACGTTTATATAAATGTTTTTTAAAATCCAAATTTCTAAAATCATTAAAACATTTGATTTTAAATTATATAATTAAATAATGCATTATTAAATGATAAACAGCGCCTGATATAGAGATGGTTAAAAATTAAATTAAATTATAATACTCTGCCTTTAGGAGGCATATAATTATCTCTAAGAGAATTATAATGAGGAAAATTATTACTTTTTCAATAAAATATTGGGTATAGAATTAAGAATAAATCACAAAAGTAAAATAAGAGTCTAATTTTTGAAATGTAGATGAAAATTTGTATTAGGAAAAATCTATGCAAAATGTTTCGAATAGAAATATAAATTGTTAAAAAATATAGAAACTATAAATTAATAACTTGGTTTTTTTTAAAGAATTTATCTATAATATTTGTTTATATTTAATTAATACAATTAGATGACATAGTAAAAGAAAACATTTTATTATCATTACTTATATAAATAATTTTATTAATTTTATATTTACTACTAGAAAGGAAATTACTTTTATACATTGATATATAAACCACATTTAATATTCAATAGGTTGCCTTGTTTATGACTCATATATTTAGTTTTAAAAAAATTCTTCAATTATATCTTATTTTTTTAATTAATTAGAAAAAAATATTATGTCTTTAAAATATAAATTATATTATTCATTTTAATTTTTAGTAAAACTATTAAATTCAAGTTCAAATAGCTAATTAAGTTTTTATGTTTAAAGTTTAATTGGTTTTTAAAAATTTTAAATGTGTTATACAACAATATTTTAATTTATTTCTTAATAGTGATAAACATGAAGAATTTATTATTAACCTAAATTAGAATTCTTCCTTTAATAAAAGATATAATATATATATACATATATACATATATATATATATATATATTTATATATATATATATTTATATATATTTATATTTTTTTTTATATTTTTTTTATATTTTTTTTTTTTTATATTTAAAATTACTTGTTTGTTGTATTTAATGTTAGTTATGAAATATTATGATTTGAATCTGTAATTTATTAAATATCTTTATCTATGATATATAATTAATATAAAACTTTATATAATTATTACTTTGCTTCGATTACTCTTTAGAAATCGTTTTTGATCTAATTTAGTATTCATTTACTCTTTCTTCTTAATTTTGTTTAAATTTATTATTTTTTACTTTTTATTATTTTATAAATAATTTATAATCCAGATATTTACTAAAAATATTTTATTTATTTAATCCTTTTTTTTATTCATCTTAAATATTGTTTTTTTTTATTTATTAGTTTTTATTTGAACAGTTTTTTTTTATTTTTTAGATATCATCTAAATTATTTTTAGCAACATTTTTATTATATATATCATTTTTATATATTCTTTTTATACTTTTTCTTATTTATTATTGATATTTAAATTAATCTTTACCATACTTAGTATGTGAACTTCTAATAACTATAGTAGGACTTTCATAGTTATGAGTTTATATTTCGTCTTTAGATTTTTAACTCGTTTCAGATTTTGATTGAGAATTATCTTAAATTATTTATTTAAATTTATTAAATTAAGGTTTTTATATAGATAATTTATTTTTGTATTAATTTTCCATATTATAAAATAAAGATTTAAAATACTCCTTTTATATTTATTATGGCGAATTTGAGTTCATTTTTATTATTTTTTTTTTTTTCTAATTGTTTTATTAGTTTGAAAATTATTTTTTATCATAATCTTTTTCATTTTCATTATTTATATTAATATTTTTACAAATTTATTATAATTATTATTATTAAAACAAATCTTAATTTAATTTTTTTTTTTTTGTACCTGATAAGTGACCAAATTTCCTTTTCCTTTAGCTTCTATAATTCTTCTTGTAAACATAATATCTTTACAATTTTTAACTTTTGTAAATGCGGATTAAGAAATAGTTACATTTCCAGGTTCTGAAGTACTACAAACCCTACTTGCAGTATTTACAGTATCTCCAATTAAGGAAAATTATGGTTTGTGATAACCTATTACACCTGCTATTACATATCCAAAATGTATTCCTAACTTCATGATAATTTTTTATTTTTCTTTTCCAAAATTTATTGTAGAAGTATATTAAAGAATTTAAAAAGCAAAATTAATTACACATTTTACAGAATTATTTTCAATTGCTGAATTTTTATTTATTTAATTTTAAATGATTCCGCCACAGGCCATGTAGGTTTTACCGACTGTTTCTATTTTTTAAAGAGAATTTAAATTACATAAAATATCAAAGACTCTATATAATTTATCTAATATTTTTATTACTTCAAGTTTTTCTTTTTATATAATTTCATCGAAATTATAAATATCACAAAATATAATACAAACTTAATTTTCGATTTTTATTGAATTTTATTAATCGCTAGAGATTATTTAGATAATAAATTTTGGAAGGAGAATAGATAAAACTTCGTTGAATTTGTTCATTTATGTTATTAGTTTGTATTCAGATAAATAACTTAATCTATCATATATCGTTTACTTTTTTATTTATTTTATTTTATTATTTGTTTTTTTTTTTACTTAATATTTAATGTAAAACATAAAAGTAATTATTAACATAGTACATGAGAATATATTTAATATATAAAATATTAATATTTCTTTAGAATCATAATTATTTCTCATAATTATTTTATATATCAATCTTTTTTTAATTATTTTATTTTATATAAATATTATTTTTTTATTAATTAAAATATTTTTTTTACGTTATACTATTAAATATTAGCATTGAAAAATAAGTAATTATTTAGAGCTCGAATCTTATATTATTCATAAAATAAAACAAGTAAACGAATATAATTACAATTCCCATTTATAATTATATAGTAGTCTAAGTTAAAAGAAATGATACTTATGCAATTCTTAATGTAAATATAAAATAATTAAAAACTAAATAATAAGATTCGAAAAAATTAGAATTTCTTAGTAATACACATATTATTATTAAAGTACTGATTGACAAATAAATAACAAATTTAAAACCAATTTAATTATAATCATCTTCGAGAAATAACATAATGAAAAATGAAATGTCAAATGTAATAAATGTAAAATATAGAATATATCTATCAAAAGGTAAAGATAATAAGATACTTTTTCTATTATATTTATTTTCAAATTCTTTATTTATAAATTTTAAAGAATATTTATTCATTTGTGAAGATGAGCTTTCAAAATTAATATTCATCACTAATTAAAAATATAGATATATATAGATATAGCTATATATAGATATAAATCGATATATATAGATATATATAGATGTATATATATATATATAGATGTATATAGATACATAAAAGTATATATATATATATTTTTTAATATATATAAATATATATAGATATATATAGATATATATATATATATATATATATATAAATATATATAAATATATATATAATTTTTACTCTATTATATAATATCATCAATTTCTGTTTTTTCTTTAAAATATTATCTAATTATATTTATTAATTATAGATGGTAATTATTTTTTTTATTTTAAAATCTAAATTATTAAAAATCTTTATATTTATTTTTATATTCATCTAATATTTTTCTTACTAAAATATTGCTTTTAAAGAACAATATAGGAGTTAATTAAAGAAATATATTTATAAAATCAAAAATGATTACTGTTAAAATCAAATAAGAAAATAATACAAATATAAATAAAGGAAAAGAAAACAGTTCTTTAAATTCTATTAGAACTATAAATATGTCTTATTTTGAAATTAAATAGATAATAAAACTAAAAATAAAGACAAACAAATAATATAACATCTCTTTTATTGTGCTTTTTTATTATAATCTTACATAATAATATTAACTTGCAAAAGATGCAGTAAAATACCTAATCAAATTTATTATCTCTAAACTTATTTATTTTCCTTATTAATGAGAAATAAAATTTGTTTATTAAAAGTAAAAAATATTAATATTGCTTGCATTATTGAAAGTAAGAATAACCTTGAATAAATATATATGTTATGTTATGGTTTAAAATAAATCGAAGTTTAATATTAAATTCCATATTGTTTAAAAAAATAGTAATCTTAATCGCAATCTATATTTTAATTTTTTTTTATAAAAATTTTTTTTTACCTAACTATTCAGGATTTTTTGGATTGAAATAATCAATAAATATAGGTATAAATAAAAGAATTGTTTATAAATAATTATATATTAGAATTTCGATATTTTATATGAAAGAATCTTAATTACAATAAAAATGTTTCATTAAAATGTTAACGAAATAAATCAACAATTATCTATGAAATAAAAAGTTTATAAAAATATTCAAAACATCTGCTTATCTTCTACTATGGATAAATATTAATTTGAAAATTTCTTTATAATTCTAAACGTAAATATCTCCTGATTTTTAATTAACAAAATGTTTATCTATTTTAAATAAATAAATAAATATATATATATATATATATATATATATATATATATATATTTAAAATTATTAATGCCTTAAATTTATATAGAAATATGAGATAAATTTGAAACTATTACATCATTAGAAATTGTAAGAAATTTATTTTATGCACTTTAAGATTTTAAAGCTCTTATTAGTTATTCTATTTATTCCGAATCAGCTTCGTAAGCTATAAAAGTTTTACAAAAATGTGTCAAAAACAAAAAATGACTTCTTAGATAATGTGTATCTTTCAAAATAAAATTCAGTGTATCTCCTTTAATAATAATTTGAAATTAGATTTATTATTCAAGAGCGTTATTTAGATTTATAATTCTAGATTATTTTCTTTATAATTATTATGTTTTTATGTTTAAAAAGGCCGAATTTTTATTCCTTTCTTCCCCAATTAATCCGGTTTTTAATTTTTCAAGATTATATTTAATAATATATTTAATTTCATCATATTCTTCACTTTCAAAATATATGCTTTCATAGCTTTCATCTGTTTTTATTATCTATGATTAATATGCATGAGGAATTGCCTTTGTGTATTACTCTCCTGTAAACATCCATGATTTTATTTTATTTTCTCAAACATTTCTATTAAGTTTACTAAATCATACTTTAATATATTATATATATATATATATATATATATATATATTATATATATATATATATTTATATATATTTTAAAAGGTACATTTATTATTTCTTTTATTCCTATGAGGCATACAAATTCACTTTAATTGTATTATTCTTCAAATTTATTGAATACTTATTCATTAGTCAAATTATTTTAATGGATATTTTTAATTGCCTTGTCATATTATTATAAGAATTCTTGTGTTTATTATTAGTCAAGATTACGCGTTGTATATAATATTGATCTTATTCCAGCTTTATTATTTAGATTTATTATTTAAGCAAGCCATTCTTTACAATAATCTATATAAATTGGGACAAATTTTACATCTTCTCTAATAATTAATTCAGAACATCCGTTTTCAGCTTAAAGAAGTATACTAAGGCGTTCTTTATTTCTATTTTGAGCTAATATTTAATGCACTTATATTTCTTTTTATATTTAAATTATATATTCTTAGGCTAGTTTTTATGTATCATTATTAAAATTCCATGATTTGCATTTAAATTTGTATTAAAAATTCTAAGCAAAATCAAGTATTACTTCTTCATCTATATTATACATTATATTTATTAATGATTTTTTAATTTATGTCTAGTTTTGTAATGGTTTTATGACATAAAACCATACATTTTAAAGCTTTTTCGATTTACTCTTTTTTTTAAGAATTCAATAAATTTTCGACAAAATTTATTTCGGTGTTCTAAAAATTATTCTATGTAAATATTATAACTTACATTTTATATATATTATATATTTATTTTTTACTTAATAGTTTTAATAGTTTTGTTAAAATTGAGTTGTAATAAACTTACTTTAAGATATATTTGAAATTCCTTATATGTCATTTATTTACTTTTATACTATTGTTTTTTTACGTTTTTATTTTAAGTTATTATAATTTATATTTGAATTTGGTACATTACTTTTATTAATTTCTTAAATAGAACTGTTGGGTGAAAATGTGAATATATTAGATTTTAGTTTGGATCTATTTTTTCTTTACATAGAACTTTCTGTTCCATCAATATTAATATATAAAGAATTAATATTTAATGTAAATTACTTATTTTTAAGTTTATTACTTCTAATTAAATTTTATTATTTATTGCTTTCTTCTTATAAATTTAAGAATGAGTTTTGATGTTAAAATCGGTTAGAGGGACTAAAATATTAAGATAAAATATTATTTGGAAATTTAATTTAGGTTTAATTATTATTTATATTGTTATTTTCTTATATATTAGTTTTATTATAAGTTTAAAAATAATTAGTATCTTTATTATAGTTAATATCGTTAATATCAGTTTTTTCAATATTTATCTTTAATTTATTGTCCTCTTTTATTTAATTGTAGTTTATGAAATCAAATTAACAATATTCTTCTTATTTCTATTGTAAATTTTTTTAAAATAATTTTGATAAATAATCTTTTTGTAAATTTTATTTAAAAAAATAAATATCTTCCCCTACTACTAAATTATCTATATCATATTAAGTATCTTTCGAATTTATTTTTCCGAAAAATGCGTGAGTTATTACTTATAAATCGGCAATTAAAATATTTTTTTGAATATTGAAATTCGGACATAGTTTATTTTCTGAATATATTTATTTAAAATTTAATAATCTTTTTAATTTTTCGATTATTTTTTTATAAAATTAATGCTTTATCTATTATTTTATTAACTTTATTTTTTTGGTTTTAAAAAATCCTAATTTTGTAAAAAAAGTTCTAAAAGAATAGACAAATCTAAAAAAATATAAATAATAATAGGAAATAAAGGTAAAATATCAAGAATTAATATTAATATGGGCTAAAAACTATATTTATTATCTTTTCCTTAATATAAATAACAATACTATGTACTTTACATTACTAATTCTTAGATTATAATTGGAATAATTAAAAAATAATTAGAAAAGCAAAAAAAATTAATTTTATTAATAAAAAGAGATTATGTTTATTTATTTTCAGGATTTAGTGTATTATTCATTATTTTACATTCCATTCCTGTATATAAAGCGATTCCAAAGATCCATTCTTACTTTAAAATTGCACCTCTTGGAATTACATTATTATTTGTAAATAGTTCTGTTAAAGGATCTTTTGATAATTTTATATATCCTTTAATATCATAATTTATTCTATTATATTCTAGTGTCCCTTTTAACATTTTACGAAATTCGAATTAATCTCCTTTGCCTTAAGCATTTTTATTTGCTTTTTTTAATATTTTTTATTTTAATTAAATAATTTTATCTTTACATTAAGTTTGTTTTAATGGAATTAGAGTCTAATAATAAGTGTTTTCATTAATTAAATGTGTATCAATTTTGCAATGTTATCCCGAACAATCTAGAATTAGAATTTCACAAGGCGATTCTTGATTTCTTTATAATATAATTATATCACCAACCTTTTAAAATATAAGATTTATGAAAAAAAAAAATTATTTGTGTAAAAAAATTATATTAAACTTCTATGTTTTTCCACAATATTTGATAAGTCAAATCTATTTCTTAATTTTAAATATTTTATAATTATTTTTATATTTTTCGAAAAATGTAAGTTTATTGGTTATTAATATAGTTATCAATTTATGATCTTTTAAACTCTAATATTAACTCAAGAATTAAAAAGATAAAATGAGATAAAATAGTTGGAAAATATATAGAAAAACTAAATATTATCTTTATTAAATTTATATATATAAAAACTTGTTTATTTTGTTTTATTTAAAATGAAAATATATTTTGGTTTACTAATTTAATGAATATATTTAATAATCATTTAGAAAAATAAAAAATAAAGTCAATATTAAATGAATTGTAATTGGTTTTCTTGAATAGAATTTAATTCCAGTAAAAGGAAGTAAGTTATAAACCTTTTTTTTTAAATTAAAGATTAATAATTAGATAAATATACATATTTTTTTTTTTAATAAAATAATAATTACATTATAAAAATTTGAATTAATTTTATTTTTTAATTAGTTTTAATCAATTCCTGATATTTAAATAGCTTCTCCTCCTTAAAATTCAATCTTTTAAAATAAATTATGCAAATAAAATTGATAATATTTACTTTTCTATTAATATTTTTCAGAAATTATTGTTACATAATAATTTTTGTTCTTAATTATAAAATATAAAATAAAAATAATTAAATATTCAAATTAATATTATTCAATTAAAATAAATAATAAATTAATGTTGATTTTTAAAACTAATAAAAGATAATTTTTTTTTTTAAAAAAAAATATAGATTTTATATAACAATATATGAAAACAAGTATTATTCAAAAGAAAATTAAAAGAATAATTTTTTATATTAGAATATTTAAACTTATAAGAGTTTTTTTTTATTAAAATAAACTTATTTCGAAATTATTATTTAAAATAATTTATAAAGATTACGATATGAATGTTTATTTCATTTAGAACTTAATAAAATATATTTAGTTTTATTTTAATTTAACATTTAAATTAGTCTTTAATTTTTATATTTTGAATAATATTTTAAAATAATCAATTTAAATTAATTTAATATATTATATTTATAATACCAATTTATTATCACAATTTTATTTACTTAAAAGTGTTTTTTTTTTTTTTTTCTTATTTTATTAAAATATCATTATAAAAATATAATTAAAATTATTACTATTATTTTGTTATTTAATTTATAAGTTATTTTATTTAATTAAAAAAAAAATGAGGCAAAAATAATAATAATAATTTTAGATTAATCAAGATTTTGAAAATGTTAATAAAAACTTAGTTTTAAATTAAGATATACAGAAATATAACGCAAAAGAATAATAAGAAATATAAAAAGAAAAACGAATATAATCTGAATCTTTATAATAAAATACATTAAATGAATCTTAATTACAAAACATTAATTAAAGAATTAATAATTTAGATATCTCTATTCAATAAGTTAAAAATAAAATGATTTCTGATAATAAGGACAATGATATTTATAATTAATTAAATTAAATTCACACAAAAATAGATGAAATTAATAAAGAATAAAACAAGAATAACTTCACTTATTTGGAAAATGTTATATTTTTTTTAAGTTAACTTTAAAATATATTTAATTTTAAATTATTAAAAAAAAAAATAAAAATAAAATATTAAATATAAAGATATCAAAAGATGAAAAGAATGATTATATTTTGAAATGTTTGGAAGATTTTTATATTCTAAAAGAAGAAAATGAAAAAAATATAAATTTATTAAAAAATTTAGACTAATCTAGTTTATATTAATAAGATGAACATATAAAGTTTTTATAAAAATAACTATATTTTTTATTATATAAAATAATTTTTTTATCCTTAAAGAAATTTGAATAAATAAATTGAATAATTATAAAAAGAAAAAGCTAATTTTTTGATAAAAATTGAAGAACTTTAGTAATAGTAAAACATATAAGAAAAGTAACAAAAAAATATATTTAAATATTTGATATATTATAAATAAAATATTTTATTTAAAAAAAATAAAAAGAAATTAAAATAATTTTTGGCTTCCTTAAAATGAATTAAAAAGTTCGGAATTTAAAGAGTTCATTAAAATTAATAAAAATAATTTAAAATTATAACCTATAAATTTAAAAAATGTTAATATTATTCATAATAAAAAAAACTTGTTACACTTAATTAAAAACTTGCTTAAGCTGCAATTACTAATAAACATATTTTTTTAGATATCTTATAAGATAAAAACAATAATAAAAAAGTTCTCTAAAATTTAAAAGGTTAAGCTTTATTATAAAATATACCAAATATACCAAAAAATGATAATTTTTCGTAAAAAAAAGAAAAGAATAAATAATAAAGTTTAGATAATCACTTTTTTGTATAATAATAATGATTTAAATTATATAATTAATTTTTTTATATTTATTATTAAAAAATATTTTTTAAGCAAAATTATTATAAATCATATACTTTTTTAAATAATTAGTGCTTTTCTAATTTTGAGCCAATTTTTATTTTAAAATAAATTAATTTATTCAAAAAAAATTTAATTTTTAAATATTTCAATTTCAAAAAAATATAAAATAAAATTAAAAAAATGATTGAAGAAACATTAGATATAAAAAATCTTATATACACGTTTGGTTCCAAAATAGATTATTCAACTGAGCAAATATCAATTTTATACGACCGATTTATCCAAACAAAATTACTATTGACCGAAAATCATATAAACCAAATGTCAAAGTTATATTTTTATCAAAAAAATCGAATTAAAGTACTTAATTATCCTCAAAAAGAAAATATAAAAAATAAGAAGCATAGACCCAAATTATCTCCAAAAAAATTCGAACCTTAAAAAATGATAGCCGAAACAGATTCAAATTAAGAAACTTAAGTTTCAAGTATATTATCTTAAGATTTCCAAGAAATAAAAAATCACAAGGCATCAATGAAAAAGAGTTCTTTTATGGAAAAAATTTCCGGAATGAAAGTAAAAAATAAATCAGAATAAGAAAAAGAATTCGAAAAAATGAAAAAAGAAATTGATTAGATAAATATAGATGATATATGCAAAAAAAACATTACTGCTATTGACTCTGATGAACTAAAAAATGAATTTGAAAAAAAATCTCCTGAATTAAGAAATTCAAATAATGAAGAAGAAGATGAATAGTAATATTAAATTACTGATTATTCTTCTAATGAAAGTTCAAATTTTGGTTCTCCTTAGTTTGTCTGGTAAGATTCTAATAATAATTTTATGATGAATAATAGAAATATATAGCTTTTAAATAATTTAACTCTTTCTTAATAAAATTCAAGTAATTGTTCATTTAATACTTTTGGATATAATAGTAATATGTAAAGTGCGGCGGGTCATTCAGTTAACTTTTATAATACAATGAAAGCTAATTTGCTTTTGGAAAGTCCACATAAACTAAATAATAAAAAATAAAGATAAATCCTTTATTGTAATAATAAACAAGTACCTGATTGGGCTAAAGATTTGCAAGAAGTCGGAAAATAAGTAAAAATTTAATAATAAAGTTAAAATCATTTAGAAATTTTCGGATATTTTGCAGTCGAATAATTAACTCTTTCGAGTATTTTTAAAGAATTTGGAAAAAAATATGACTAAGCTAGAGGGTCTTCAGCTAATTGGAAGTAAGATTATACACCCGAGTAGATGTAAAGTTTAATTATTGCTACTTCATAGACTCCAAATAAAAAAAACAATTCTAAGTTGGCATAGTTTTTATAAAATTCTTATAATTAGATTAAAAAAAAGTTACTCTGAATAATATATTTGAATTATATTTGTATTTATTTTATACACAAATATGATAAATATATATAAAAATATATATTGATAAAATATAAATTTACATATATATATGTATAATATATATATATATATACATTTATATTTATTTACATATATTTTTTTTTTATTCAATTTTTTTTTTATTTTAATTATTACTTTTTTAATTTTTTTTCATTAATTTTATTATTTTAAAACAAGTTATTTATATTTGATTTTATATAATTTTTTAAAAATATTTTATTGTATATTTATATTTGAAGCTTTTTTTTATTATTATTAAATTTTAGGTTATTAATCCAATTTAGGTAACTAGTATAAACTATTTGCAAAAGAAATTAATTTTATATTATTATTTATTAATATTACTGTACTATTATTAAAAGCATTGCTTTATAAATTTTAATTTTCTTATTATATTATGTTAGAATTTCTTTATTATTCTGAATTCATTTTATTAAAAATTTTTTAATTTAAAAAAAATTTAAAGTTATTAGGTATTATTTGCGATTTTTTTTAAAATTGTTATTCTTTTTATTTTTTTAATTTTAAAAGGTTTATATTTTGCTGATTTTTATCTTTTTTTATATTATCTTTATTATTATTTTTAAATATATTTATACCTATAGGAATTTTGTTTTCTACATTATGAAAACTTTTTCTATATTATTCTAAAGGTATTTTATTTTATAATTAATAGTTAGTGCGTGTACTTTGTAAATCTGAATTGCATCTATTTTTTTAACCAATATATATTTATTTAAATTAGTTATTTTCTTATGACTTTTTTAAAATTTGAACTTAGGATATATTTTTTTATTAAGGAATTTATTTTTAATCGATATTTTAAATTTATTATTCTCTTGTAATTTTTGAAATATTTTTATTATTATTTAACGAAAAGCTAGCTTTTTTTATTATATCCGACTATATTGTTTTTGGTATTATTTACTACTTTTCATTTATTAAAGGCATTGTTTATTAACATAATTTCAATTATTATTATTAATTTTATTGTTTAATTTTTTTCTTTATTGATTAAGTATTTAGAAAGTACTTTTATAAAGTTTCTTATACTCTAATATTTCTTATAAAATTTTATTCTATTTAATTTCTCATTTATTTTATTTATTGCTTAGTTTATTTTATTTTAAAATTTATTTTAAAAAAATGAAATTAATCTAAATCCTAAATTAAATCAAACAAATTCTGATTTGTATGCTTAACTATATGAATTGTTCTTTTATTTTTTTAAAACTATTTTTTATATATTCATAAATTATATTTATTATAAGATACATTAATTAATTAAGGAAAAAATTCTTAAAAAGAGATCTTTTCTGATATTTTTTTTACATTAAACATTTTTAAAAGTTTATTTTACGAAATCCTAAAAAATATAATATTAAATTAATTAATATTTATTATTCCTATTTACTTTTTTTCATTTTGTTATTTTTTAATTTTATATGTTTAACTTTCATTAGTTTTTAAATTTAAAAATGTTTGTTAAACTGTTTTATTAAAAATTGAACTTTCAATACTTTTATTAATGTCTTATTGAGTATTATTTTTATTTAAAATGAATTTTTTTAAGTACTAACTTTTGTAATTTGTAAATTTAATAAAATCAATAGTTTAAGCTAATGAAAATAAATTAATTAATTTTTATATTAGTTTTTTTTTTAATTTTACATCTGTTTAGATGTTATGATAAACTCTTTTTTTTAACTAATTAATTGTATCTGCTTTTTTATATTAAATTTATTTGTTTACGGAAATAATTTCTTATAAATTTGACTAAATATTATAATAAATCAAAAACGACATTTTCCTTTAAAAATAAAATAAAAGCTCTAATATATTTAACATAGTTTATATTTTACTCTTTAACTTTATTCTTTTACTATTCTCCTTAATTAATATTTATGTTCATAATTTCTTTCGAATATATTAAAAAATTCTTAGTATAGATTTATATAAGCCATATCGAAATCATTATTATAAACCACAGTTTATTTTTTAAAAAAATAATAAAATTATGGATGCAAATATTTCATAATTAAAAATGATTTTATATAAATAATTCTTTTTTTTAAAAAAAAAATATATTTGAAAACTAAATTTGATTTATTATTATAGATACTGTTTATATTCTAAAGTTATTTATAATTTTTTGAAAAGACTGAAATACCAATTTTCATTTTAAACCCTTTATTGCTCATCTTTTTTTATTTATTCTATTGAAATATCATTAATTTGTTTGACATTTTCTTAAAAATTTTTAATTTCGTCTATTCTTTCTAAAAATAAATAATAAATTTCATTCATTTTTTTTTTTTGTAAAATTAAACTTTAATTTATAATTAATTTTTATTTTAATATAATAAAATTTAAAAAAAAAAAAAAAAAAATTAGATAATAATTTTATTTCAAATTTAATTGTTATAAATTTTAATTTGGTTTGAATTAATTTATAATTTTTCTATAAAAAAGCATTATTTATTAAATTATTAGTTTTCTGACAAATCATGTTGAACAGACAATATTTATTCAAAACTTTAATTATTGTTACTTTCGTTTGAAATAAATTATGATTATTTTAGTTTTTCTTAAGCATCTTTACTCTAAGTTTCGCCAAATTTTTATTCTGAAAGTTCATCTCCATATTAACTTTTCTATTCACTAGCCATCAATTTACCCTGTTTATCTTTTTAAGTAACTGAATAAACACGATTTTTATCTATATGCTATTACAATTATTAAACCTACATTTTTAATTAAATAATTTATGCGTCTTTTTCATTTACTGAAAGTTACAAATTTTTTAAATATCTAAAATTATTCTCTTATTCTTAATAAATTATTTTTTTATTTTTTCGAATTTTTTTAGTCTAGTAAAAACCATTTTACTTTTCCTAAGAATATTAATTTAAGCTATCACTTTTATGTAAATATTAATAATTATTATTTAAATTTATATTTTTTTTATGTGTATTTATTTAATTAAAACTTTTATTAAGTTGATTTTCTAATTTAATACTTCTATTATGCGTATGATTGAAATTAAAACTTTGATTATGTATATTATTTAAATTAATACTTTTATTATGTGCATTATTTAAATTATAGCTTTTCTTATAAAATTAATTTTGGGCGATATTGCTTATTGCTAAACTTTAGTTTGGATTATTTTTTATTTAAATTATTTTTTTTGTTTGCGAAGTTTATTTATTATTATATTATTTTTAATTGGATAATATTTTTATTTTTTGGTTATTTATATTAGAACTATTTGTTTATTCAGTCAATATTTTTTTAGTTTTATTGTTATATAATTGTTTATTTTTTTTTATTTCAATTTTTTATTTTTCTTATAATTTAATTTGTTTTTATGATAGTTCTTTGTATTAATTAATAGAATTTTTGGAAAGTAATCTTGTTTGAGACGAATTTAGTTTTTTATTTTTATTAAAGGGACTTAATGTAAAACTATTTTATTTTTATTATTAAATTTACGTTATATATTTAAAAAAATAATGTTTTAGACTATTTTTATTTTCAATATTATTATTTTTTTCTTATATTTCAACAGATTTATTAAAATAATTATAATTTTTTTAAGAAAAATTTTTATTTTTCAAAATATAATTTTAAGTCGATCTTTTTTAAGTATTATTTTTCTAATTTTAGTTTTTAGTAATTAATACTTTTTTAGGGTTTTCAGTTTAATATAGAGATATTGATTTATAGATTTTTCTTATAATTTCTTAAGAATTTTCTTTAGACAAAGTTTATTTGATACTTAATTTATCAAAATCATTTAATTTTGTTATATTATTTATTTAATTTTAAATTTATTAGGTGTTTCTTTTTATTTACTAAAATTTTGGTTATAAACTGTTAATATAATAATTATTTTTTTTCACTTCTTCTTTTTTTTATTACTAGATTATTTAAGGCTTTTAAATTTTATTTGTTATTTTTTCTTAGTTTTACTTTTAAACTATGTTATTATTAATTTAAATTTTACTATTATTATATTTTTAAGCTTAGTTCTTTATATAAAAATTATCACTATTTTAGCTACTTGCAGTATTATTTATTAAAGTAACTATATTTTGTGAATTACTCTAAGCATTAAGTGGGAATTCGAATGAAAAGTTATTTTCTTCAATGCTATTTAAAAAAGAATCTACATTTTAATTTTTAATTGATGGTTTTATTATTACTTAGTTTGAATTATTTTCGTCTTTAAATGTAATATTTTCTAATATTTATTATATACTTTTGGGTATTGTTTTCATTATTTAATTTATTGTATCTAATTATAAAGATACTGGTTCATTTTAATCATATTTTTGGTATGTTATTGAAAAATTTTTAAATATGCTTTATTAGGCTTGTTATTATAAAAATGGTTAGTCCAATATGTTTTTTTGCATTCGATATTTTATATATATATTATATTAAATGTATTCTTATGTGTTGATAAGATAAATTATATTTTTCTTTTAAATAAATAAATAAAAATATTCGCAAAATTAAATAAAATTAAAATACAAAAAAAAATTAAATAAAAAATATATAAATATGCATTTTTAAAAAATCAAAACAATTAATTAAAAAAAAAAAAACATATAATATAAATATATATAAAAATAGTTCAAGATAGTTTTCCCATTTCTGCTTTTTTAAGAATATGAACAACAGATTTATGAATAATAGAATCAATAATTCCTGCAACAGTAAATACTCCTCCAATAATAGCGCAAACCTAAACAATAAAATGCAAAAAAGACATTCTGGATTAACTAAATCTAACAATAACAGGTGATAAATCATACCTAAAAAAGCAAGCAGGTAATCTATCACTTAAAAGTTCATTATTATTAGCTGTAAATTAATATACACTGTACTCTTTTTTTTGAATATTCACATAAGTGGTATGTACCACATTAATATAATATTAATAAGAAATACTAATATTCTTTTAATCCTCAGTTTTAATTTTTCTAGTACGATCCAAAGGATCTAAAATTCCCTAAGACTTGAATTATCTTTTAATTCTTATAATATCTGTTTCATCTCCAAAAGATATATGATTAATAATATGCGATACATCAATAGTACTTATATTGACATGAGAAGCTATTTAATGCAGAATTCGGTCAAATGAATGTGCTGAAACATGGAAGTTTCCAGGTGCTTTATTAACAAAAATATGTCCTTATATTTTGCATCCTTCTTAATCCAAAAAAGCCGATTTTAATCTATTCAGCCTTGCTTCGCTGAATTCCTGGTTATTTTCTGAATGGGAATCGTCATATTTTTGAGTATCAAAATACTAATTTGTATTTGATATTCTGGTTATTTAAATATTGCCTTCTAATTAATATGAATGAGTGCCTTTTAAATCTTCCACATCTAATGATATTACGTCGCAAGGTAATCTAGGATAATCTATATCTATATTTATACGAATTTTGTCATAGCGTTTCTCATCTATATACATTTCACTGGTTTCGGTTATGCTTAAATATCCATTAAACTCACTTATGAATAATATTAGCATTATTAAAGAACTTGCTATTGAAATCATAGCACCAGATACCGTAGATTCTGTTAAATCTGTAGGCAACTTTCTATACATGTCTATTGATTTTAATTTGGATTTTACACCTATTCCGAACATTTTTATTTTATTTTATAAATGTGTCCTTTTTTTAAAAAAAATTATTATAATTATTTTTTATTTAAATATCTTTATTTTTAGAGGATTTTTTATTTTTATATAAATAAACGTGTATGAATAATAATTAGTTAAATTAATTTTTTATATATGATTTTAATTTTATTTTAATATAATAACAAATTTGATTTAATAATATTATTTAGTTTTTTTATAAATATTGCTTATATTTATTTTTAGTATATCGCCTTATGGTTAAATATTATTCTACATTTACTATTACTAAAGCAGATTTTAAATGTTCGAATTATATTTAATTTTATTAGAAAGACTTTCCATATTTTTAATAAATTTTCTTAAAAATATTGGATATTCAGATTACCTATTCTATTTAATTCTAAAGCAAATGAGATAGTACTTTTTTCTTGGTTGAATCTATATTTTCTATTAATTTAAATATTATAAAATATCATCAATATTATTAATATTGCTTATTTTTTTATTATTATACATAGATTATTTTTTCCAATTATTTAGATAATTTAAATTTACATTATAAACATATTCTTCAGATATTTACTTAAAAAAAATATTTATGACTTAATTCGCTATTCTTTCTTACACATGATTTAAGCTGCCCTGATTCTTAATAAAAATTTTACTAGAATTTTTCTATAATATGAAAATTTTTATGTTGTATTTAAATTAATCTGCATAGCAAATTAAAATAAGTAATTATTAATTCTTTTTTTTTCAAAATAATTAATGTGTATTATTTTTTGACCTTATTATTTTTAATCAATTTATTTTTTGGTATTATAGAATTAAAATAAGTTAGCATCCTATTTGAATATAAAGATTAAAAAAAATTATTATTTTAATTTTATAGAAAAAAATTAAAAATATTTTTCTTACTTATTTTTATTTAAATTATTAATGGACTCTAAATTATACTCATCTGTATTTATATTTAACTACTTATTTATACAGTAAAATTTTAAATATTAATATTAATTAAATCAATGCTTTTATAAGGCAAATAAAAATTATTATTGTCATTTTTACTTCTCATATTAATTTTAGGTTATTAAATAATAATTAAAGATTTTTTTATGGATTAAGTCGCATTTTTTTTTGCAAATGTTGAATTTCCAAAAGTGAAGTAATTTATTTTTATTAAATAAATCTCCTAACCAATATTAATTAAATCCATTATTTTCTTGAATATTTGATATTTAAATTTAAGTAATAGAAGGGCACTTAAAAAAAATCACTTTTATATTTATTTATAAAACTACTTTAAACTATATTATATTCATTATAATGTTTTTAAACAGAGCATAATATTATATTTTGTTTTATAATAATTTTTTTTTTTTACAATGTAATATATTTTTAATCGCCTGCTATCTGCATTTCAAGAAAAAAAGTTGCAAATTTTTACATACTTTTTAATATATTTTTTATTTTCGTATTATTTCTTTTTGCTTCTAATTATTCTTAATATTGGTAATTTTAACTTATTATGTTATCAAATAATAATAAAGGAATTTTAATAACAAATCCATTCTTCTTTATAAAAATCATAGACATATGCATACAAAGACTTTCCATTAGAAAAATATCTCCTGCCTGTTACTTAATTTTTATAAATAGTCTTTGCTTTTTGCATATTTTGTATTTTTGAAAATATAATTACTTTTAAATTAATTATTGATTTTTAATATAGATTTAAATTATTTTCTTTCAATTTTTGTTCATTTTAAACGTATATATATATTAAACACTCATTTTGTAACTATATATATATTTATTTGTAAAAATTTATATTTGTGTTTTATATTAATGCAGTTAGTTAAATAATATATTAATATTTGCTATTTTGTATTAATTTTTAATTATTTTAAATATTTTTTTAATGTAATTAATCGTATTTTTTAAAAAATTATATTTATAGAATATTTTCAAATATAATGTAAGTAATATTATTTATCTAATTAGATTATAAAAATTGATTTATTTTTAAAGATTTAATTCAGTAAGTCTATCGGCTAAAACATTTCTCTAAATTATGGGCTTCAAATTTTCTCTAGATATTCACTGTAATTAGAATAATTTAAAGAGTCATTAAATTATTTTTTATATAATATGAATTTTTTAATATGCAAAAAAAATGTCATACTATATATAAATATTTTTAATTACAATAAATATAATTTAATTAATATTAATTTATTTATTTTAGATCAATATAATATGTGATTTTTAAGATAATATTGCTTTCTTAAAAAATTATATGTTAATTTAACATTTTATATTATATAAAATTTATATGAACATTCTCATATTTTATATATATTTATTAATATTTTTTAAAAAATATTTTTTATTATATAAAAATATTTTATAATAATTTTAAATTTATACGTTTAAGTAAATATTTTAATTTTAATTTAAATTTAAATTTATAAATATAATAAATATAAATATATATATATTTATAATATAGTTATATATATATATTTTTTTTTTTCTAAGAATTTTTATTATTTATATGTTTTTAATATTATTTTTGTACTAGTTTTAATGTATTGTATTTATAATAAATTAGTTTTTTATATAAAAAACTTATTAAATTTATTTAATAGTTTATAAAATAATGAATGAATTTTATTTTTTATATTATAAATAATTAATCTAAATGTAAGACTTGATAATAATAAATTATAATGATAGTTATTTTTAAAATTAAATATGATATATTTAAATATTTTATTTTATTAAATTTATATTTAAGATTTATATAAAAATTGCAAAATCATTTATTTCTTTGATTTTATTTAAATTTTATTATTGTTATGTCTACAAATTAAATTTATTAATAGATTTTTAATTTTAATAAAAGCAATTATTTTATTTTATTTATATTAAACTAAAAGCAATTTATTTCTTTTTTTTATTTATATTAAATAAAAATTCTATTTAAAGAAAAAAAAAATTAAATTTTATATTATAATATTAACTTTATAAAAATAATGTTTTAATAAAATTAAATATAACCAAATTTAATTTTAAAAACAATTTTTTTATTTAAAAATATTTATATTTATATTTAGATATATTTATCAAGATAATTATAACTCTTTATTATTAGAATTTTTATATTATTTATTGTCCTCTCTTAATTTGTAATCATTAACTGAGTTTGTTAAACCATTAATTTGTTTTAATTAAATTTCTTCATCTTGTTCATACATTTCATTTACAATAAATTCTTTTTCAATTGTAGAAAATTTATTTTTCTTTAAAAAGTTATCCTACATCCAAAACTAAAAAGAATTTAAAATTGCTGGTACTAAAACCATAACAAAAATTAATTTAATTTAAGGATAATTATTAAGCCTAAATAAATTTAATAATATAAGATTTTCTTTAAAAAAAATATACCAACTAAAAAGAAATTATCCAAAGTTTTATAAAAATGAAGAAAATAAATATGATATTAAATATAAAAATGTTTTAGATATTACAACAATCATATTCCAAACCATAAGTTATAAAACCCATACTCTATATTCTATTTTTACAATAGGCTTTAGTAGACTAATATTTTCTACTCGTCTATTATATCCACTTTTTTTATTTATATTTAATTATTCGCCTGGAGTTAAGATTAAGAAATAATTTCCTGTTTAAAATTTCTTTTTTTTTTTTTTTAAGCAATATAAAATAATTACTGATAAATTAAATTTTTCGAAAAATCTCTCAATTAAATTCAAAATAACAAAACACAATAACACTCCAAGTGTCGTATCTAAAAATATAGTCACAAAATACCTTTGTTTTGTTTTTTATATTGTAAAACTCAATATTTGTAAAAAAAGAACCATGTACAAGGATCATTTGAAGAGTCACTACTTAACACTACTGCTAAAATTACATTTAACATATGTGCTAATAATGCTGAAACACCTTATTTTGATGTATCCTTTTATAAATTAAATAAATAGATAATTATTTGCTTATAAATATAATTAAATACTAAAGCCCATATTTTCCATTATCTCTTAGGTCTTTCTTTATGTCTTTTATCTAAATTTTCATAATGAATTAATATTTTTGATAATTTTTTTTTTTATATAAAATACATATAAGAACCAAAAATGATAGAATCCCCAAAAAAATCTAGAGAATAAATCCTTCAAAATCTAATATTTCACAACTTTTATCTTCAGCCATTTAATAAAATATATTTTAAATTATTTTTATATTTATTTATATTTAAAAGATAAAAAGGAATATTTTATATGATTAAATATCTATATTTATTTTTTAAAAAAATAATTTTAAAAGTTATTTATAATAAAAATATTATTACAAATAATTATAATTTATTAATACCATTTCTAAATTTTATGTTTAATTCTTTATAAATTTTATTCATGTATCACATTCCTTATAATTATAATACAAACAAATTCAATTTACATAAAGTAATATCTTATAATTTAACATATATTATAAATTAACAAAAATAAAATATAAAAAATGAAAATAAGATTAACAAAATATTAAAAAACTTTATAATAAAATAAATTTTAATTAAGAAATAATTAAAATATATATATATATATATATATATATTAAATCCTTATTTAAGTTTAAAAATTTTAATTTAAAACTTAAAGATGTTATAAATTATTTATATAAATATTTTTATTTTAAATTAATTAAAGAAAAAAATATATAAATTAATTAAGATAAAATGATAAAATTAAAACTTAATAAAATAGAAATAATAAAAATTTAATGAAGTTTAAAATAAAATAAAAATTTAATAAAATAAGTAAGTTATGAAAATCCTGTTTTAAATTGCAAGTGTTGAAGCAATATAAAAACGAAAATAAAATTATTAATCTAATAAAAAAGTTTTAGTTGTTAATTAAAAAATTCATAAATAAATAATAATAAAAATATTCAAAATTTTTAATTAACTAAGAAAAAAATATATGTATATTAATTTATAAATATAAAAAAATTTAATACTTATAAATTATAAAAAATTAATAATATTTTAAAATAAATCATAAAGTAGTGGTTAACTATATTAAAATATTAAATTTTTATTTATTGTTTTTTTTAAAAAAAAGTAATATATAAAAATAATATATATTTGTAATAAAGAAAATTTAAATATATAAAGTAATTATTAAGAGATATAATATATTAAATTAAATATATATAATAAAATAAATAAAAAATAATAAATATGATAATTATTAATTAAAATAAACTTAAAAATATAATATTGTTAATATGAAAAATAATTTTCATTTAAATAAAAATAAAAGTATTTTAAAATTTTCATTTTAATATAATAAATATCAAAAAATATATAATAATAAATTGATACTATAATTTTATTATAATTTATTATTTTATTATTTTTATATATAATTTATATTTAAAAAAAATTATTCTTATTATTAAATTTTTTTTTTTAATTTTATTAATATATTATATTATATTTAATAATATTTTATTATTAAAGTTAAAAAACTTATTTTTATTAATATTAATTATATTATATTTATAAATAATAATATTATCTATATTTATATTATTTATATATTCATTATGTTAATAATTTAAATCTAAATTATTATATATAATTTATTAAATTTATAATTTTAAATAAAATAAACATTTTTAAAATAAAATAAACTTTTAAAAATTTTATATAATTCAAATTTTAATAAATTTTTTGCTATAAAAATAACAAATTATAATAAAATTATGATATATATAAAAATTCATATTATGATTACGCAAATTTATAAATTACCTTTATATATACAAAATATAATATATTTAAATATATATATATATATATATATTTATGTATATATATAAAATATTTTTAATATCATTAATATGAATTTAAAATTTAATCTTACAATATATTTCAAAAATATCTTTTAAATATCTTTTAATATATTTTAATTAATTCTTATAAATTTCTATTAAAAATTTAAATATTATATATAAATTTTATTTTATAAATTTATAGAAATCACAATTTAATTATAATTTTTTCTATTCATATACATTAATTATTTTTTAAATATTATTATATTTATAAAATTGATTTTATATTTTTTAAAATTATTTATAATATAAAAAAAATATTTAAATATTAATTATGAGAATATTAAACATTTATATAATTTTTGTAAGATATATTATATAATTAATTAAATATTTTATAAATTATTGTAATATTTTCTTTATTATATCAAAATTAAATTTTTATAAAAAATCAGAATATTTTTTAAATTTGTCAAATTATATTAAATTTATTTTATTTAAAATAACCTGAAAATAAAGTGAAATATCAAAAAAACATATAAATTACAATATATATAAATATTTAAAATATAAAATTAACTTAATTTATTTATTTTAAAAGATATTTATTTTTTATTTTTTATTTAAATACAAATATATATTTCTTTATGTTTAATTATATAATTTTTTAAAATATATTGTTGACATAAATAAATAATAATTAATAATTTAGAGCTAAAAATATATTTTATTTTTATTTTTTTAAATAAAAAAAATTTTTATTTAGTTAAATTTATTTTTTATATTTATTCATGTATAAAAATGAATATTTATTATAAAATACATTAAATTTTTAAAACTTTTAATTTTAAAGAAGCTTTTATAACATTATTTCTTTAAGTACAATATTATGTTTATTATTAAAATATTAAATTTTAAATTATTTTTATGTTATTCTTTTTAATATTTTATTTAAAAGTCATTGGGTATAAAAATATGTATTTAAAAAGTAAAATTATTTCTTAATAGAAAATTTTATAAAAATATAAATTTAAACTATATATTCAATTTAATTTGTGTAATTAAAAAAAATACTAACAATACGGATATAATTATTGGTAAAAAATGAAAATAAAAAAAAAAGATCTTAATTTTATAAAATACTATATAAATAAAAATGTTCTTTAAATATTCTATAGAATAAAAAGAAAAAATTATTAAATATAAATTAATAATAAAAAAAATAATAATAAATAATAAATAATAATAATATAAAATAAATAATTAATAATAAAAATATACTACATATATAAAAATCTTCTATGAGAATTATATAAAAAATAAAATAGATAAAATTATTATATATAAATTAAAAAATATAATAATATATAATAAATAAAAAAAAAAAATTAATAATAATTATAAAAATGGAATATAGACTTTTTGGTAATACAGGATTAAAAGTATCTGCAATTAGTTTTGGAAATTGGTTAAATAGTGATAAACCTGAATGGTAAGAAAGAACTACTTAAATGGTAAAATTAGCTTATGATCTTGGCATAAATTTTTTTGATACTGCTGAAATGTATGGATTTGGAGAAGGGGAAAGATAATTTGGAAAAGCTTTTAAAGATTTAAATTTGCCTAGAGAAGACATTGTAGTTTCTTCTAAAATATTTTGGGGAGATTTTAAGAGTGTTAATTAATTAGGATTAAACAGAAAGCATATTAAATAAGGAGTGAAAAATTCTTTAAAAAAGCTTTAATTAGACTATATTGATATTATATTTTGTCATAGATTTGACGATGAAACTCCCGTAGAAGAAATTGCAAGAGCTTTTACTGAACTTATTTAGGAAGGATTAATTCACTATTGGGGAACTTCAGAATGGAGTGCTGCTAATATTTTTGAAATAAGAGCAATTTGTGCCGAAAAAAATCTTATTTAACCATCTGCTGAATAACCTTAATATAATATGTTTGTTAGAGAAAAATTTGAAGCAGACTATGCAAGACTTTTTGATATTTATAAATATGGATCTACTGTTTGGAGTCCTTTATGCGGAGGTATTTTAAGTGGAAAATATAATGATGCTGGAATTCCTGAAGGAGCTAGATGGGATATGTTTTCTGAAAATGCTTTTCTATAAAATGTATGGGAAACTCATTTTTCTCCTTAGAATAAAGAAAAACTTATAAAAACACTCTAAGGACTTAATCAATTAGCTAAAGAATTAGGAATAACATAAGCTTAATTAGTAATATCATGGGTAATTGCAAATAAAAATGTATCAACAGCTATTACTGGATCTACTAAACCAGAATAATTAAAAGAAACTGTTTAAGCTGTTTAAATTTATAAAAAACTTACGCCTGAAATATTACAAAAAATTGAAAACTTGCTTAACAATGCACCTAAATCTAATGTCAACTTTAAAGTATGGCCATTCTAAGAAAAACCTAGAAGAAGATGAAAAAAATATTATTTTATTTATATTTAAATAATGTTTTCTTTAATTTTTAAATATCTTTTTTTAATTAAAATTTAATATATTATACTTTTTATAAAAATTAAAAAATAAAATTAATTTATATAATATGTAAAAAATATATCATTATATTTTTTATAAAACTAAAAAATGTTATATTTACAATTACTTAATTTTATTCTTAATATTTTACTAAAAATATAGGATTTATAAATTCTCTAATCTTTATTAAATAGTAATTAAATAATTCATTTAAATTTATTGCGATTAAATGCAAATATTTTGATATATAAATAATATATTAGAAAATATTTAATCATTAAGTTTATAAAAATAACTAAATATCAATGAATAAATTTTGAATTTTTTTTTTTTTTTTTTCTAAATATATATTTTTACAATTAAAAAGTATAATAATTTATATTAAATTTCTTTAACAAAAATTTTAATATAGATTTTTAGGTATAAATAAAAAGTTAAAATACGGCTATTTTTTAAAACGGATGTTCATATCCCTATTCTAAATTTAATAAAAATAAATTAAGCTAGTATATAAATTATAAATAATAAATAAGCTTCTAATAATTAAGAATAATATAATAGAATTACATAAGATATAAATTTTCTTACTAAAAATTTATTACACAGTAGAATTTTTTTTTTATATGTATAACTATTTTAGTTTATATTAATAATATATTCACTTTTTGAATAAATTCTTTTATAAAATAATAAACAAAATAAATTTTTAATTAATGAAAGAAATAAAGATATATATCTTTAAAAATTTAAATAATATTTATTAAAATCAAATAAATAATAAATATTGATTAAAATTAATCTTTTATCAATATTATATTTATATTAATTTTAAGAAATTTTTATGCAACTAATATTTTTATTTAGATATATTATTAAATAAATTAATATATGTTTAGATTGAAAATAAAATTTAAATCTAAATAAATCATAAATAACATATTAAATATTATGTTAATTTATTATTTTTTTACAATTATCATTTGTTTTAATAAAAATTATGTTTCAAAATGTTTAAATATTAATTGGTATTATTTCATTAAATTGATGTAGATATATTTCTAATTCTAAAAGAATATTTATTTTTATAAATTAATATTTAGTATTTTTATACTTTATTAAAACATATAGAAATTTTTTAATAATTTATTAGTATTTTTTAGCATTATTTATTTTTTAAATTAAAATTAAGATAGAATTTACTAAAAATATTATTTAAAAAATTAAAATTAAAATTATTAAATCATGAATAAAAAGATTTAATTATAATATCATGATTGCTATATAAGGTTATATAGTATTTTTAATATGGTTTAAGTAATGGTTTTAGTATTAAATATTTAATTAAAAAAAATTATTTTATATTTATTAATTATTTTTATTATTATTTTATATTCTTTTCAAAATAATAGTTTTCTATTAATATTATTTCATTTATTTATTTATTTTTCACTAAAATTTTTTCTTTCTTTCATTTTAATACATTATTATATTTATAAATTATATTAAATTTTACTTTATTATTATTATTATTATTTTTTTTATATATTTTTACAATTTTATTATTTTTCTTTTATTTGCTTTTTTTATTCATTATTTAATATTTATTGTATTTTTTTTTTATAATTTGTTATTTTTATTTCAATATTATAATGATATAATGATATTTTTAAATGCATTTATTTTTTTATATATATTTCTTATATAATTTATTTAATAATTTATATTATTGCTTTAATTATAAATAAATATTTGTATTTTAGCGTCGAATTTTATTTGCTAATCATATTATTATCATATTTATAACAAGAACTATTTATAAAAATACAAGCTTCATCTTATTTATCCCTTTTAGTAAAACTTTATTAAATACTTAAATTTTATATTAATATTATTTTTATTTGTTATCCACATAAATATCTTATTATTTTTATTTGTTTTCCACATAAATATCTTATTATTTTTATTTTTCACTTTCATTTTTTTTTAAAAATTTTTAAATATATTGTATTATATTTTTTTTTGTAAAAAACTTTTCGATATATTTAAAATAAATTCTTATATAGGTGAAAGAAACATCATTGTTTCCAGCTTTAAATTTAATCTATATTCCCAAGAATTGTTACAATTTTTTTACTTTTTCTTTATAAAAATTTAACTTTAGGCTGCAA